CCGGAAACAGGTGAAAAGGTAATGGTGGCTCCGAGATTTAAAGATTTTGGTTAAATGAGCAGCTCCCACTCCACCATCAACCGATGTCAGCAGATGTCGCCTCATCCACTCCACATTCACACACACATAAATTCACACTGACTATTGTAAATAAAACACTTTGACATTTAACTTCTTCACCACCTCTGTAAACACACGCACACGTACATAACTTGTCAATTTACTTTGATGTTAAAAGACACAATTTTTGCGATCTTCCCCGGAGCGGACGTGTCCGAACAGCCCCCAAATTTGATAATAAAAGTTACATTATAAATCCTAGAGCGAACTTCCCTGTGCCTTTTCTTTAATATCAAGTGGAAAGTGAAAGTGCAAGTGGTAAGATAGCTCAAAAAGATCATAGGCCTCAGTTATTCATGGTCCTCCATCGCCTCAACGAACGGCACCTTGGAATAACAAAAAAATTACAGTCCACCTACAAAAAACAAAAATAAAACTTTACAAAGTACATACTCGCATATGCCAACCTGCATAACATACATGGCTATGAAGACAAACTAAAACAACAAAAAAAATTGTACAACATAGTAAAAGTGAAGAAAGTGAGGCTTACCACAATAAGAGCAGAAAATTTACAAACATATTTACATACAGAAATACTTTTCAAAAATCGCAGTGTACAAAATCACATACATATAGCTAAATAATTCGGGCGCGCCGCGTAAAACAAAACACTCAAGAACATAAACTGTAATGCAAAACTAATAAAAACAAAAAAAAAATAAAATATTCAACAAGCATTGAACAACAACTGTAGAGAGAAGCAGAGGACTAGCGGCAGACTCAGCGAGGGAAATACTTTTTGCACACAATTTTTAACCCCAAAATGAAAACCATATACCCCTTATAAACCAAAGTGAGTTGTATCGAACCCACTTAAATTAATGTATGTTCATATATGGATATTTTACTGAAAATTTGGCAAAAAGTAAAAATTATAAATAGATACAGTACAATATTCAAAAGAACTATTCCAACCACTACTTAACGAAGGTTCAGATTAAAAGATATAAACATACCTCAGTACATATTTTTACAGTAAAGCGGTTAAGTGTTAAAAACACAAAAAATAAAAGAAACAAATTTACATTCGCATGCAAATACATATTAACTAATATGTCTACTTAACTTATTTCTCGTGTTTTTAAACACAAACCAAACCCAAAAGAAACAAAACAAATTCAAGTATTTACTTGCAATAAGCAAAAGCAGGATTGCATAAAAAATAAGCAGCAGAAAACAAATTAGAACTATAAGAACCAAACAAAAAAATTTCGCGCGTAAAAGCTATTTAATAGCTAACTGACAACGAGTTCAGACAAAAAAAATAATAAATAACAGCAAAGTGTTTGCATTTTTACATACATATGTTATTACATATATTTATTACTGTTGCTAGTGCCCTACAAATTCACATATAAAAACATCAAAAAGTACATATTAGCAAGCAATTTCTTATCTCCCATCAAAGTGCTACTTAGCGCGTATTAACATACGGGCATATATACAAACAATAACAGACGCTGCACTTCTTACCAGCGTCCCACAACATACACATAAACCTACAGTACGGTCATCTGCAACTCACTGTTCATTAGCGATAATTTTCTTTACTCCCAACAGCTAACAACATACTCGAATATACAAACGGGCATATATCATAACATAAGTAGCAAAATTGCAATCAACGTTTATCGTTTCCTCCTCTCCTTCGCTAGCAAACATAGTTACATACACGCTAACTATTGTTAACCGCCTTCGCTTAACTTTGCATGCTATTAACATTCATACATATACTTACATAGTATATGGGTTAGTATACTGACCCAGTAGTGCATATACCTTGCACATCATATGTAAAACGAAAATATTAAGAAGTGCGTTAAAGTAAAAGTACTCAAATTAAATATTTGAATTACGATAACACATATAAATCCAAGTAAGCCAAAAGCCGATTGATTGTACGGATACTTAATTATATCATCCCCTTTAATCAAAATACACTGGAAAAAAATATTTAAATATCTCGCATACATAAATGCCATCTGATACAACTCCGGTAAAGGAGCCAAAAACCCCAATTCCTTTAAAAGCGCTAAAACTGGTCGATGATGATAAAACCCCTCAGTGCACACCTGCAGAATCTACACGATCAATGCAGGGTACCAAGCAAATATTTATTTCAGAAGTGACAGTTTAACAAGATACTGCACTCGATTTTCCCCCCCCCCCCCCCAATACAAGATAACTCGGAATCGGTTCTAGAGATAAAAAACCACCATCTTGACAAGTTTTGGATCCGACTTCAAGCGGCATACGCTGATACCGCATACGGATGATACCGTTTTGCCCGCTAATTTTAAAGATTCGGCCTCGGCCAAATACGAAACCTGCCTTGCCCAATATGAAGAAACAAAAGCTATGATTTCCGATCAGCTTAAATTATTAAAATGAATCAGCGCACCTACTCCACCCCAGAGAGTAGAAATACCCCAGGCGCAAGAAGCAAGTTCAGGCATATACCTCAAAGTGCCAGCATGTGATTCAGATGTATTTCACGGAGGTTATGAAGAATGGCCGTCCTTCCGGGACATGTTTACGGCCGTGTACATAAACCATCCACAACTGTCTCAAGCACAAAAATTGTACCACCTCAGGTATAAAACAAAAGGTTAAGCAGGTGGTATAGTTAAACAATTCGCACTAAATGACGACAATTTCAGTCTGGCTTGGGAAGCACTCAAATCAAGATACGAAAATGAAAAAGTACTGGTCGATAATCAAGTAACGATTCTAATGAACTTGCCAAAAATTCAAAAAGAAACTAGCGAGGAATTCATAAAATTACAGTCCACTGTTACAAACTGTTTATCCGTGCTAGAAACTGAAAACATTCCCACAGATAACTGGGACCCAATTCTGGTAAATGTATGTTCCGCAACACTGCCAGAAAACTCTTTACTTCTATGGGAGCAATCGCTTCCATCCCGAAAAAAATGTCCGACATGGCAACAAATGAAAGATTTTCTTACTACCCAGTACGAAATAGCAGAGAGGGTAGATAAAAACCTATCAAAACCCAAAAAGACACAAAATGATCTACATAGAAGCTTCAATATACCCCAAGCCAGAAATCCCACATCACACAATAGAAGCTTCAATAGATCGCAATCATTCATAACTCAAAATAAATATGCGTCATGCGAATTGTGTAAAGGAGGTCACAAATTAAGATCTTGCGAGAGATTTAAAAATCTAACAATAAACGAAAGAAATAATTTCGCTAGAAGCTCAAAGCTTTGTATCAATTGCTTATCACAGTCTCACAGGTTAAAAGAATGTGTATTGTCACAGGAGACATCATTCGATGCTTCACATAACAAATTTTAAAAGCACACCCAAAAAAACTTGAACTCTTACAGAACTCCTGGTCTAGTGGCAACAACCAGACCCGAAGACCCTAAAACGCAGGACCCCGAAATTACACAAGAGCGATCATGCTGCTCAAAAGCAGCAAATATACAAGCTCTGCATTCAAACAATGAAAGCAACATTTTACTTCCCACTGCAGTTATCTCCATCGAACACCGAGGAGAACTATTTAAGCTTAGAGCTCTAATAGATCAAGGTTCACGAAGATCTTTTATCTCGGAAGAAGCACAGAACCGACTAAAGCTCCCAACAAAAAATTAAAACTTTGAAATTTCGTGAATGGGTGGAAGAGTAATCCAAAACTCCAATAAAATCTGCTCATTAACACTGATTTCCCCCAATGCGGATGTATGAATAGAGGCACACGCCATAGTTCTGCCGCAACTCACAAATATGCTTCCAAGCTATAAAGTAAATGGAAAAGATCGCCAAAAATTTGCCCACCTCAATTTAGCGGATCCCAACTGCCACACCCCGCGCAAGTTGATATCCTATTAGGCACCGACCTAATACCCAAAATCATGCTTGAAGGCGTTGAAAAAATTTCTAACACCCTGTTAGCCCAAAATACTATATTCGGGTGGATCCTAAGCGGCCAAGTGCCAGCAACAAAAATTAACTTTCATAACTCCAGTCAAGGAGGTGATCGCCCTAATTCACAAAGAATAAGATTTTGGAAGTTAGGAAAACCTCCCCCCCTTACGAATTGCCACCCCAGGTGATCCCAGCCCTTTAGAATTTATGAAAAAACGTTCCTACAATAAAAAAAATGTTCTTAAATTCCAAAATAAGAAAACTGTGAATTCAAGGGAAGGCAGTGTCAAATCATTTCCCGAAAGCAACAATAACATTGATCGTCAGCGAGGAACCTTGCCGGTCCCGCAGGATGGCTTTCGCCAATTATGAGACAAACGAAATCCCTAATGAATTCGGGACGAAATAGAGTAATATCATAGTACCGTAAGTCCGGCATTAAATTAAAATGTTAATTCAGATTTCCTCTTTTAATTTTGCCAAGCCGGTTATTGCATCACTAACAAATATCCCGACGAAAGTTATATCGTCCACGAGTTTAGCCACAATGCCGAAATGCGGCTATTTCGCTCTGCTCTTTATCAACACTGTTGTTATCCGTGCTGGGCCTTTCGTGTTAAAGTCTTCCGTGCCAGGGACCTCAACTTACTTGGAGGGCTTTGTGGTCGTCTTTAGTTACTCTACAACAATGACGATTCACCTCGAGTTGAAATATGGTCTGACTT